GATGCCCAGGGACAGCCAGACATGGAGTAGGACATAAGGAATGAAAAAAAGGTTAAAAAAAACCCTGAGGCAAGATGTAGATGATGAGAAACGAGTTAAGAATGTATGCGTTAGTGGGACAAGCATAAGTTAAGGCCAAGCATTCATAACTAATAAGAAGTCTCTGTGTCATGCTTTGGGAGCTGTCTGGTGGCCCCAAAGAAAGCTTGCTGCACAGCTTGGGTGTTTGCTTTCTGTGTAAGGAGGGAGACGGCCTCAACTGGGTCGGCTTCATCATCAGCATGTCCTTTCTGTTCCTGTTTCAGAGGAAGGGACAATATTGCATTGGTGGCTGGAACTTTCTCCTTATCCCCACCCCCCTGCCCTTTGCTGGATCTGGTTGGTTGATGTCCTCCTCCCCAAACCACAGACCACTTCTGTCTGTGAACACCGCACTGGTGAGATGCTAGGCTGTAGAGAGCACAGAAGCCTGCAGTTGCCTTCCAATTACACATCTCCATTCCCAAGACGGAAACCTCCTCCAGCCAGCAGTGGTGGACCAGCCTCCACCCTGGAGGTATGCCGAGCAGTAGACATGGAGGGCTGAATTTAGCAACCCAGGAAAGAGAAGAGTTTGACTTCAGGCTCCCGGGTGGGGCTTCACGATGCCAGCAATCTCATGGGTCCCGTGTTTAGCAAATACTTTCTGGCATACACAAGCACTTAAACAAAACTGTCTCATTCTCAGAAGACCCTGTGAGGTGACAAGTGTTAGTGTATCTTCATTTTAAAGCAAAGCACAGAGTCAGGAAGATATTTGACACAGCAGGACCACAAGTTTGAGGCCAGCCTGAACTCTATAGTGAGTCCTTGTTTCTAAAAGATAAAAACAAAGACTAAGCAAGTATTTGAGTCAGCAACAGGGCTCAGCAAGTAAAGACACCTGTCACCAAGCCCAACAACCTGAGTCTGATCCCCAGAGCCCATGTATTGCCAGGAGAAAACCAACATGGTTCTATGTATATCCCCTCTAAATAAAATAATTAATGTTTAAAAAGAAAGTATTTGGAAATATCTTAAGGCCAAGACAAGGTAGACTGAAATTGAAAAGATGCTAGATAGCACTCTGGCAGGGAAGCCTTCTTACACTGTGGTACCTATTAGCTTTGGCATGATTCTTTGTTTGTTTGTTTGTTTCTTTAGAAACTATTAATTTCTATAATCAAGCCCACAAAGATAAGACCTTACAGTTTTAATACTGTGTTATCCCTATACAAATGGGGGGAAAATAAGTTTAATGTTTCTATACCAATATGGCTATTCATTTTTATAATGCCAACTCACAGGTAAATTGGGATACTTTTTTTCCAAAGTTGACAGCTAAGTTTCTAAGAATTTGGGGCTGAAGAGATGGTTCAGTGGCTAAGAACACTAGCTAGTCTTCCAGAGAACCTGAGTTCAATTCTCAGCAACCACATGACAGCTCACAACCATCTGTTAATGATATCTGGTGCCCTCTTCCGGCCTGTAATCCTTTGGAAAATGTGTGTGTGTTTGTGTGTATAAGCATATAATTTTTGTTTGTATAAAATGATCACTCATAGCAGTATGTTAGGCAACAATATCAGTAAAAGCTTTTCCAGGATCTACAGTCATATGAACAAAATTGTAGAGATACCCAGCCTGTTCTATTAAAAAAAAAAAAAAAAAAAAAAAAAAAAAAAGCAAAAAGCGAATTCCCAGGAAACGACAGTTTTGTCACTATTGTGGTAGCTTTGGCACATTTGAACTTGACTATGGATGATTTTGTGGGACAAGAGACCAGAAAATTAATTCTAAGCCCTGCTGGGTGTGGTGGCTCATGCATTGATTCCAGTGCTTGGGAGGTAAAGGCACACGCGTCAGGAATTCAAGGCTACTTAGTAAGTTCAAGGCTATCTGGGGCTATCTGAGACCCAGATCTGTAGGGAGAAGGATGAGGATTACCAGGGGGGAAAAGAAGGAGAAGAAACAAGACAGTGTCTGGCCTCTTCAAATTGAGCTAGGTACATAATAGGAAATGCAACACCAGGAGCAAGACCTAGCAGAAACATCAGACTCATCAGACACATACTACTGAGTTTTGTTGAGAGAGAGAAGCTTAAAAATATCTGCAGGGACAGGAAACTATAAAGAAATGACATACTGGATTTAAAGAGCACATTTGTAGAAAGCTTTAGGGATCAAAACCCACAAATGCCTTCAGGGACTAGACAGCAAACAGAAACGAGTCAGGTGTCTGGGTGCACACACTGGTCACCCGTAGAGTTTGGAGGGCAAGGGCTGCTCAGCCCCAGCTGCTGCTGTACGCGAATGGGGGCCCAGTTTGCAGAGCCTGGGCTCGACCCAATGGTTTAGATTTCTTTATATGATAGTCGACACTGACCATTATAACCACTTTCCTCCTTTTTCCATTTTTTTCTTTTTTTTTTGAGTGTATGTGTGTGTGGACAGCATTGTGTTGTGTATACATGTTTACAGGCATGATATGGTGTACGTGTACATGCATGCGGAGGCCAGAACTGAAGTTGGAATCATCCTCTATCTACCTTGTTTATTGAGGCAGGCTCTCTCAGTCAAACCCAGAGCTTGCTGGTGTGGCTAGTCTCACTAGCCAGCTTTTTCTGGGGCGCTCCTGTTTCTACCTTTCAAGGCTGGAATTACAGGCCAGTTGCCATGTCTACCAGCACTTATGTATGAGTTCCGGGGATCTGAACTCCAGTAGTTGTGCTTTTATAGCCAGCATTTAACCACTGGGCCATCTGTCCAGCACATTATAACCATGTAAAAGTACAATTCAGTGACACTTCTATACAGTCTAGAAATCTTTCTTTCCTTTTCTTTTTTTCTTCTTTTTCTTTCTTTCTTTCTTTCTTTCTTTTTTTTTTTTTTTTTTTTTTTTTTTTTTGTGGCTTTTGAGACAAGGTTTCTCTGTGGCTTTGGAAATTTTTTTTCCTGGAACTAGCTCTGTAAACCAGGCTAGCCTCGAACTCACAGAGATCCGCCTGCCTCTACCTCCTGAGTGCTGGGATCAAAGACGTGTGTTTCATTATGAAGGAAAGCCTATGCCCATTAGCCATCATTCCCTCCTCCCCTCAGCCCCTGCCTAGGCTGGATAGCTCATGTAAGTGAGGTCATACAGTCTTCTTCCTTGTGTGCCCATATCTTTCCACTTAGCACACTTTCAAGCAGGGTTAGCAGTATGGGTATTCCTTTTATTATTCATGGGTAATAATCCCAGTGTGTAAAGACATCCACTCATCAACTGATATTTGGATATAATTTTTTTCATATTTGGATATTTGGATATAATTTTCGTGTGTGTGTGTGTGTGTGTGTGTGTGTGTGTGTATATATATATATATATATATATATATATATAGAGAGAGAGAGAGAGAGAGATTTGCTTTTTGAGACAGGATTTCTCTGTGTAACATGCTTTGGAGCATGTCCTGGAATTCCCTCAGTAGACCAGGCTGGCCTCGAAATCACAGACATCTGCCTCTGTCTGCCTCCCAAGTGCTGGGATTAAAGGCATGTGCCACCACCACCACCCAGCTACAAGTGCATTTACTAAGCACTTGCTGACCTGATATGTATATTTTTATATATCTTGTTTTTAAAGTATATACATATATACATACATGTAAACATATTCTGTGAGGGGTGGTACAACACTTGTCTAGCACAATGCCTAGTACTAAACAAAAATTAACTCCCCCAGGCCCAAGCAGGGAATGGTCTGATGGGAAGGCACTGAGGGCTAAAAGTATGAGACTTTTGATTTATGGCATATTTTCCAATTCAGCACTCAGAATGGTTCTCTGATGACATAATTTTTCTAATTTTTTGTTTGTTTTGCTTTTCTTTTTTTAAATTTACTTTTAATTCATGTGCTTTCATGTTTTGCCTTCATGTATATAAGTTTGAAAGTGTCAGGTTGCCTGAAACTAGAGTTACAGACAGCTGTTAGCTGCCACGTGGATGCTGGGAATTGAACCTGGGTCCTCTGGAAGTGCAGCCAGTGCTCTTAACTGCTGAACCATTTCTCCAACCCTTGTTTTGCTTTTCAAGACAGAGTTTCTCTATTCTAGAACTCACTCTATAGATCAGGCTGGCGTCAAACTCACAGAGGCCCACCTGCCTCTGCCTTGGGTGCTGGGATCAAAGGGGTACACCACCACAACCAGGTGTCTGGTTTTTGTTTTTGAGACAGGGACTCACTATGTAATACTGGCTGGCCTGGAACCCCTTACATAAACTAGGCTGGCCCTGGAACTCACAGAGATCCCCCCCTTCAGCCTCCCAAGTGCTGGGATTAAAGGAGTAGGCCACCATGCTCGACTATTGTTTTTATATTTTTATTTTTCACATTAGGACCTTGTGTTTAAAATGGTAAAATGATAATGCCTGGGGAAAAGCCCACAAAATTTTCACACTCATTCTCCACTAGCTCTGTCCCAAACCCCTGCACCGCCCCCGAACTTCAGGGGGTGCTTGATAACACAGTCAACAGTAGTCACAGATGAAGTTCATGGCTGCAAGCTGGAATAACTCCTTGACTCAGTTTTCCCACCTGTGAAACGACTTGTGTTGGGCTAGTTCTTCTCCAGACACTGGTATGCCCACATTAGGTCATCCCTTTTCCCAGCATCCACTTGGGCAAGCATTCGCTCTGGTCCAGTCGATTTAGCCGCAGCTACACAGCTACCTGTCCCTATCCTTATTGCCTGTGGTGGATTCTGCCACCTAGCTCTGTCCTGGGATTGGGGGACAGCCTCTCAAAAGTCTTTCAGGGTTGGATCAGTCCAGTTTACCTGCTGCTCTGGGTCAGTAAACTGCGCTTTCACCAGGAGCCCGTTTCAGATTAATTTGTGGTTCTCTGACCTGCGCCAGGGAGGTTTATCCCTGACTGGGGCAACTTATCTCAAAGGGAAAGGAAGCCTTACGACAATGCCAGTTGTCACCAGGCTAGGACCTTAAACTAGGACCCCAGTTTGATCACGGTGAGGCAGACGTCCTAGCTCGCACATTTCAACAAGGCAACTAGCTGGTCAGAAACCGGCGCCTCAACTCTTTCCAAGATCACGAGTCCGGAACCACCGCCTCCAACTCTGAGAAGTCAAGCGCCCGACAAGTAACTTGCACGGTCGCGCCAGCGGCCACCAACCCAAGGCCAGGGCACCCACGGCCTCCTGTCTGCCATCCCCAGGGTGTGTGTCTTGGGGGAGGGGTCCCCACCACTCCTGCGGCCTCCGGGGCAGTCCGCGGGCCCGCCAGTCCCATGTGCTGGGAGGTCGGGGTCACCCCTGATCGTTTCCCGGGGTGAGGTCCCCGAGGCTCCCCGGGGAGGGCGGCGGCGCCCGGAGGCCACACTAGTGGCGGCCGCGCCGCTCCCCCTCGCTCTGTGCAGCTGCCGCCCGGCGCTTGCGCACTGGGCCCCGGGCGCGCGGCGGCACCAGGCTTTGTGTGTGCGCGTATGTGTGTGAGTGTGTGTCTGTGCGCGAGTGAGAGAGCGGGCGAGTGTGGCGAGCAGGACCCGGCGGGCGCGCTCCCCCAGCCTCTCTCTCTCTCCTCTCTCTCTCCCTCCCCGCCAGAACCATGTCGGGCAGGTCGGTTCGAGCCGAGACCAGGAGCCGGGCCAAAGATGATATCAAGAGGGTCATGGCGGCTATCGAGAAAGTGCGCAAATGGTAAGCCGAGGCGCCTGCTCGCTCTCTCGCTCTCGCCGGCTCGCCGCACCGCGCCGCGGCCGCCAGCAAGCCCGGACCTAGCGCACGGAGCCGCGGGGCGCAGCGGCCACGGGCCCGGAGTTGGCGAGGACGCGCGGCCCGGGTCACCTGCGCCCCGCGGGGGCTGCGTCCGCTGCCCAGGTGTGCTTGGCGCGGGTCGCCCACCTGGCGCGGCGGCGGCGGCAACAGCGGCAGCGGCGGCGGCGGCGGCGGCGGCGGCGGCGGCGGCTGCAACCCGGAGCTCGGAGCTCGGGAGAGGGGGGTTCGCAGCCGGCCCCAGAAGCCATTTCGTTTTTTTGTGCAAGTCACATGAAAGCGGCTTCCCGCGCGCCGGGGCCGTGATGCCGGCGGCGGCGGGCAGAGCGCGAGCTCCATTGTGCAGCGCGGAGCGGGCCGCCGTCTCCTCCCGGGGCGGCGCGGCGCCGGTGTCCCCCCAACACACACCCCACGCCCCGACCCGCCCGCCGCTCCCCGCCTCCCAGGCCTCGGCGCCCTCGAGTCTGCGGAGTTTGCAGAGCGCGAGCCGTTTAAATTTAGCGCTTTGGGCAGCCTGGAGCGAGGGCTCCGGGCGAGGAAGGAAGATGGGGGCGAGCGCCGGGAAGGCGGTGGCGCGGCCGGGGAGCGGGGCACCCACGGCTCCCACCCGCTCCGCGCGGCACCGGGAGCTCGGGGGACGCGATGTTTGCTGCCAGAAGCCAAGTCCTGGGCCGCGTCTGCCTTCTCCGAGCTGGAGCTGGTGTTTGTTTTGCGAAGAGAGCGAGCGACCGTTGTTTTTGTTCTCTGCACTGGGGGAGGAGGAGGGGACCGCGAGATTCGGTGTGGGCCGTGCGAGTTTTTCAAGCTCAGATTAGATCGTGCCCGGCGTGGCCTCGTTATAATTAGCAGGATGGAACATTTCCACGGGCCTCGTCGGGATCTAACTCCCAGGCGGCCCCAGAGGCCAGGCCTGAGGCGCCAGTAGTCCACCACCAGGTTGGGTCGGACTTGTTGAAAACTCCTTGCTCCCTGATTTCAACTTTATTATGTTTTTTTTTTTCTCTCACGGCTTCATCGGGGTCCGAGAGGGAGACGAGCAGCCGCGAGGGTGTCCCTAAGTGTCAGCGCCCGTGGGCTGGTCCTGTCCTTTATAGGAACTGGCCAGGCCCCACTGCAGGCTGTTTCTTTTGGGGGTGTCATTTCTTGAGTTGTTATTGTCTCCTTTTTTTTTTTTTTTTAAACATTACTCGGGGGCCTGGCTCAGGTCTGGTGGTGTCACAAGTTAGCTGTCCTTTCAGAGTGAAACCCAACAAAAAAAGGCAAGGAGAAAAATCAATAAAGTCCACGTGCTCCCGGGCCTCCTATGGAAAGGGCTGTCTGCGGATGGCCGGATGCCCGCCGTGGGCTGGGTTTGGCTCCAATGGGACAAAGAATTTTCACAACCGTGAGAAGGGGAGGCTTTCCAAAGTTGAGATCCAAGTCCTGGGTGCCGGGAGCTCCCCTGCTGAGCAAGGCGCCCAGTGCCTAACTGGAGCCATTTAAAAATGGCAGAAAACAGCTGCAGGCCAAAACACAGAGGAAAACAACACAGTGCCCCCTCTCCCGTGGGACTCTCAAGGGAAGGCTGAGGTCCCGTGTCGTCCCCCCCCCCGCCCCCCGCCTCAGTCCCGGAGTAAAGAAAGAACCGGTATCAGGGCGTGAGTCCCTTCTGTCTGTCACCCGCCTGGAGGGTAGAAGGGGCCGGTGTAAAGCTGCCTTTCTGATCCTGGAGCGGTGACAGCTGCGGCTGGGTCTGCCAGCTGCTCTGCGGGGCGGGCAGATGGAGGGATGGGGCTTTCCACCCTGCGGGCCCCAGAGCAGCAGGCCTGGAGGCTTCCATCCTGGCCGCTTCACAGCCTGCCAAGCCTGGGATTGGAGTGGGGGATGTGGCTGCCTTCTTCCCTATGTTTTGGGGGAAGTAAGCACAGCATGACCTCCAAGGATCTCAGGCTTTAGGATCTCCTGCTTAAGTTTCTACTTCACTTCCTTGCTGTGACCTTGGGCAGAATATGAAACTCACTTCTCCAACCCCAATAAGCCCGGGGATTCGGAGCCCCCTCGCCTTCTTGAACTGTTGAGGACTGACAGACTAGTCGGGTGAAGTCACCAGAGTACACAGGAGTCGTTGTAAATGTCCTTATGTAAGGCAGACTTTGTAGAAATTTTGGTTTATCTTCCATTCCCGTTTTAAACAAAAATGTAGGGGACTTCCCTGAGGCGCAGAATCTGGTCTTTCCCTGTCTTTACAACAGTCTTTCCATCCACCCTGAAGGCTTCGGGCTGTTTATTAACTGTGGCCACCGACCATGAATTTCACCACTGACTGAACAGGGGTTGCCAGAATTAGCAAATGAAAATACAGAACACCCAACTAAATTTGAATTTCAGATAAATAGCAACACGGTTTTTTAAAAAGCCTTTCTCTCCTTGTATGGTGGTGCATGCCTATAATCTCAGCACTTGTGAGGTAGCCTGGGCTACATTCAAGCTTCTCTTAAAAAAGCAAATGTAAATGAAATTTTCTGCTGAGATTAGTGCTTTAGTGGTAGAATTTGAGCTTAATATGCACAGGGCTCTGGGTTTTGTCTTCAGCCTGTATACACACACACACACACACACACACACACACACACACTGTATCCCGCGAACTACACATACTGACACATGCCAAAAAGTTATCCATTTATCTGAAAAACTCAAAATCAGCGAGTCATTCTGTATTTTAACCAGAGGAGAGCTGAGGTGCCTGACATCTCTTCATTCTCAAAGCCTAGGGTAGTATTTCTTCTACCACCCTGCAGGAGAAGCCAGTGTGTGCTGTGGCCTCCCTACCACGCTGGCAGCTGTTTCTCCTTTTCGTCTGGTGCCCCCACAGAGCAGGTTGGTGGGATGTGAGGTAGCCAGAAAGTGGCTGAAGGAGGACAAAATGTTTGGTGCCTTTCTGGGAAACTGGGCCAGGCTTAGGAGGCCCAGTGTGAGTGGAAAGACAAAGCGAGGTCAGAGCCGCTTAGTAGGTGTTGGTCCAGGACCTTTCAGCCCTAGGCCCAAGGGGTCCTTTAGGAACTGTCCACAGAGACAGATGGGGGCTTTCCACCCATCTCCGAGAGAGCCCATCTGAGGCACACCCGGACCTACCTGAGCTGGGGAAGAACCTTGGGGCTATACATTCACATCTGGGACTTCCTTTCATCTTGGGGACACAATCCCGGGAGACAGGATTTCAGGGACCATGGAGGCAGGAGGACTTGGGCTCGGTGCAGAGTAGTTTTGTGGCTAGGTTGAGCTACAGCCTGGTGGTCCATGTAAATGTCTCCAGGTGGTAAGGGGGGGCTGGGAGGGTGCAAGCTGTAGCTTCCAGGGGCACGTGGGCCCCAGGGCATGTTATGAGAGTAGCCAAAAATCTGGATTTTTATGGTTCCCCCTTTCTTACACTCTTTCGTCTACTTTGGCAATTGAGTCAACTTTTGAAAAGTACCATGAAGGTCATTGAGTGCTGCCCTTGCTGTAAGGTAATGGGAATGTCTAGCTCCCTCATTGTGGGAGCAGCCAGCTGTGTGTTCCCCCATTGATGGGCGTGGGGCACTTGTAGGAGCTGGGAGCCAGCACCTTTGTGAGAGCTCTGTCTGGCTTCCTGGGAGGCCAAGGGCCAGGCCAGAGGTCAAAGGTCAGTCCCAAGGTCAGTCACCCCCCACCCTGTTTCTCTGTAGCTCTGGAACTCAATCTGTAGGCCAGAGATCAGCCTGCCTCAGCCTCCCAAGTGCTGGAGTGTGTTTTATTTTTTTTTAATTCTTTTGTATTTATTTTGTGTCTGTGCTTGAACAACAAGAGAGATGAAGGGGGAGGGAATGTACTCACATGTCCCATGATGTGGGTCAAGGGCAACTTGTGGAAGTAGGTCATCTTCCACCATGCCATTTCTGAAGACCTAAGGTCACCAAGCACCCTTACCTATGAGCCATCTATTATTATTATTATTATTGATCCCATCATGTAGCCTAGAACCACCTGGGACCTAGAGTTAGCAATCATCTTGCCTCAGCCTCCCAAGTGCTGTGATCCCAAGTTGCTAGAATTGTATACCATCACGCCCACAACCCGAGGTCAAGTTCATAACTCTTGCCTCTGTCTCCTCAGTGTGCACACCTAGTGATGGTGCCACAGACTGTTTTCCGCCTCTGAGGTGGCCTGGGTACTCCAGTGAGGAGGTGGCCAGCTGGGGACCAAGGAGCCAGTGTGTGGCTGGTGGCCCACAGTGCCTGGTAACTTCAGGCATTCATCCTGGTTCCTGTTGTCTTGGGAGGCCCAGAACTCTGTCGAGCTCTCCAACCTGAACCATGGCCTTTGTGTTTCAAGTTAGTTGCTTACATAGTAAAAAAGTAAAATTAACACACTCCAGCTTTGAATTGGTTGATTTACTAAGGCTCAGACCAAGGAAGTCCGTCAAGGGCTTGTGAGTACTGATTGGGTAACTTTGGCCTTTAGATTCTAGAAACTTCTGTCCCCAGGTGGTCTTTAGAATGAACTTTTCTGTCTAGGGGCAGCAGAGTAGCAGAAGGAGGACTCTGGCTGGCATCAAAACCTATATTCACTCTTTGTTTTACCACCCATTGTCTATGTGACCATGACCGTGGTAACAGTTGCTGGACTGTTTGTTCTCTCATCGGTAAGATGTGCTCCTACCTTTTAGTAATCTCAGAGAAAGGAGAGAGAGGGGAGGGGTTGTATAGCTCGGCATCTACTGCACAGTGGCCATCGGGATTATGTCTTTACTTGTCACTGACATTGTTCCTGGGAATGACCCTATTCCTCCAGGTCCCTTCTGGGGTTTCCATGTGGAGATTGGAAAATGGGCTCGTGGCTTGTGGCTTGTGCACTCTGCCTCCAGGAGGCAGGAGAGGGATGGAAGACAGACATGTGTCTTCACTTCGTGCTCTCCCAGCTCACAGGCGCATGGGCGGGGCCTGACGGATGCTCTCCCAAGGGTTTGGATCCTCAATAGTGGTTATGAGTTCACCTTCTCACTTCCTTGATCTGTCAGGTGGGAAGGTGACACCTGCTGCCACACACGGCCATGTAAACATCAGAGTGTGGGTGTAGTGCTTAGCACATGGAAGCAATTAGAAATGGTCTCCTTTAACAATAAAAGCCAGGCCATATCTGACAGGAACTTGGAGACCTGAGTGGGTGGAGTTTGTGAATGGAGGTGTATGGTTTGGTTAACACACACACACACACACACACACACACACACACACACACACACACACACACACTGCTGCCCAAAGCCTCAGTAGTGACATGGCAGAGACTCTCTGTGACAGTCACGTGTGAGGGGAAGGCCACAGCTAAAGTTTGGGTGGAGAGGCCAAGGTCCTCATATCACCTAGGTAACTGTGGGTTACTGTGGCTGTTGCCATTGAAATTGCAGCCATGCCTCTTCTTCTGACCTTGACCTTTCATCTCATGTGGGTTGCTTGAGTCACCTGGGTTCTTTCTTAACTCAGTGCAACTTCAGGCTGCTTACCCCTGAGATGGCCAAGCCAGAGCCCAGATTGTTGGGGTTCAAACCCCACCACTGCCCCTGGTGACTCTCTCCAAGTTGTACCTACCCCATGCAGGGACATGGCCCCTGAATACGTAGAGAGGAGGGACACTGTCTCACAGCAGTAGTCTAGCAAATAGCAGTGACTTAGAGAGGGTACAATTACTATTCTTGATGAAACAGTCACCTTTCCCCTTCTCATGGCCTGTAATTTTCTCCTCATCCATATACCCATCTCTCAGCTGGGCACTTGGACTCTGTCCTGTGGAAGTTTAGAACCTAGGTGATCAGGGATCCATGCAGGGCCTCCACTGAAGGATAGGTGCAAGGATCCTCCCCCAAGGCCAGGCTCAGCCTGCCTCTTAATGTTCCCCTCCCCACCCCTACCCCCTCATCCCTGTAATGTTGTGAAGGGAAGCTGCCAGGAGGGCAGGGCCATCGCTTGCTTTCTTGGTTCCAAGAGGGTAGGCAGTGCGAGGCTTCCATAAGCCAAGGGCTTTCCCAGGGGCCCTGGCCATCAAGGACCAAGCTGGGATTCCAGCCATATCTATGTGATCAATCAAAGCTTGTTGTCTTAGCCCCTGGGCTACACAGACATCTCTTTGTAGCTGTGATCTCTGCCACCCTCCCCACAAGCAGAGTCCTTGTGCAAAGACCCCTGGTTATGGGCTCTTCCTCCTTCCCTGCAGGGAGAAGAAATGGGTGACTGTTGGCGACACATCCCTACGGATCTACAAGTGGGTTCCTGTGACAGAGCCAAAAGTTGATGACGTGAGTACATGGAGCTGTCATGTCTTCATTCCCTACCCAGGGTGACCTCCACACTGCAGGGAGGAGAGGCTGTTGGTCACTATAGGGCTTACTCCCCCTGGAACCCTGTGTACTCTGTAGGAACAGGCAGTGTGATACCCAGTTATACCAAGCCTCTGCCTTCACTGTGGCCCCGTTCCTAAACACCCATCCATCTGCCAGGCTTCATACCATCATCTTCCTTACTTCCTGTCTTTGTAAATCTCTTTTTCAAGGGGAAGGCATGAGCCCTAAGAGGGTAGGTACATCCACACCTCTCAGAGTCATACAGTTATGTCAAAGTGGGGACTTGATTTCAAGTCCCTCTGATTTTGAGATGTGTGTGTTCTCTGTTCCTGGAGCGCCTTCTGACGGGCTGTTGGTGGACCAGGGAGGAGAGAGCCTGGCGTAGGGGTGCCTGCACCACTCCCTAGAGGGGCTAGAGGAAGATGAAGGGAGACAGGCGATCATGCTGTGTCCTGGAAGAGGGTGCTTACAAGCAGGCAACCCACTTCCCACCAAAAGGCCTTTGCACTACAGTCCTCTCATGCCGGCCCCTGCCCGGGTTACCCACACTTAGTGCCCTCCTCTGAGAAGATGAAGGCTTGGCCCAGGCCGCCTCAGGGAACAACGTGGCTGTGGTTGATATGTTTCATTATGGGGCAGCAGCTTCCTTGATAAAGACAGAGGTTAAGCTCCCTTTCAGGGGCTTGCCTCTCTGACACATCTTCAATAGCCTGCCCCTTGAGTGTAGGGACTCTAGTCAGGACTGCTCACATGCTCACCAGCAGGAGGGGTTTTGGTGGGGGGAGGCTGATACTGGGCTGGGAACTTAGGTGATTGGCAACCCTTCTCATTTGACCTGGGTTTCTGAAGTCGCCAAGGTCCCTCTTTCCACAAAGGGACCAAGGCTTGACCCATCCACATGTAAGTAGACAAAGAGCAGCCCTAGTCCTTGGAGGCAGTTCCTGGCTCCAGCCCCTGCCTGGGCCATTAGGTGGTGTAGAAATGCTGGCTGTATCTGAGGAGACGTGGTCCCTGCTCTCAAGGAATTTCTAATCTCGTTGGGGGAAGATAATTATAGAATAGCATGAAACAGACATCAGGGAAGTGCCAAGTGGAATACGATCAAGGGGAACGTGTACTATATGGGCGTGAGAAGGACGGGACAGCTCCCAGCTGGGCAAAGAACACTGGATATAGTCAGGCAGACGAACCCTGGCTAACCTATGAGGCTGGGCGCATCACCTCTCTGTGGTTCCCCCCCCCCCCCACCTTGTGTAGAGGAGCCATGCCTAGCTTGTGGTTTCTGTACCCAGAGTGTACACTGTGTCTCCTGGAGAATATTTAACATAGCATAGTGTTCCAGAAATGCTGAGTCCCTTTCACTTCTGAGCCACGACAGGAGTGTGCTGCCAGCTGAGCATCTGGGTAAGATGCAGATTCCTGGGCCCAACCCCAGACAGCTACTTTAGAATCTATGAAGGTCAGACCAGGAATCTGCATGGCATAGGGGAGGGGTCATCTTTATGGTTTTAGAAAATACCCAATTAGGAGCTGGGCAGTGGTGGCGCACACTTTTAATCCCAGCACTTGAGAGGCAGAGGCAGGCGGGTCTCTGTGAGGTTGAAATTTTCATTCTTTCTAATAAGCAAAACAGGTGTCAAAATTCAAATGCCTATTTCCTTGTTTTTATCTGGTGTGAGTGTGTGTGTGTGTGTGTGTGTGTGTGTGTGTGCGTGCGTGCGTGCATGCATGCATGCATGCATGTACCATAGCACATGAGTGGAACTCAGGAGACAACTTGTGGGAATCAGTTCTCTGCCATGTGGGTTCCACGGATACAGCTTAGATATTCAGACTTGGCAGCAAGTGCCATCTGACCAGCTCCTGTTATAGAATTATAGCTGGGAAATTTGAATGACTATAGCACTACTAACTCTGAAATATACATTTTGGCTTCCATTGTTTCATTTTATTTTATATTTTTTGAGACAGGGTCTTGCTATACTGGCCAAGCTGGTCTTGAATTTCTCTGTCTTCCTGTCTCTGTCATGCTAGGATTACAGGCTGAAGTATATTCTTTGAAAGAGTGAATTTTGCTTTGAGGGTGTAGCTCCATGGTAGAAAGTTTCCTCCGACTCCACATGCATAGTGCATCTCCCTCCCCCCCAAGCCCCACACACAAGTAAAATATAATGTAAAAAGTAGTGATTCTATACCATTCTCATCAATACCTGTTAGCAGTTACTCCCCAAGCCACTGGCAGTTGTACATATGTTCTGCCTCTATTCATTTGTACCTTCCTTTAAATATTATTTTAAAGGAAAATTACTTAGTTCTTACATGCATAAATATTTTGTCTGCATGTATATATGTGTATGTCATGCATGCAGTTCTCTCTGAGACCAGAAGAGGGCATTGCATAGATGTCTGTGAGCCACTGTATGGATGCCGGGAACTGAACCTGGGTCCTCTGCAGGAACAGTCAGTGTCCTTAACAGCTGGGCCATCTCTCCAGTCCAGTTTAAATATAAATTTTACAGCATACCTCTCCCTAACTCTGCCTTTTGCCCTGCATGCACACACTCCCTCTTGAGTTTACCTCCCTGTCTGTACCAGGGCACCCACTTTGTGTTTATCCTTCCAGAGTGCACATGCCCCAACAGTGCTGGCAACTACATTCTCTGCCCCCCTCTGTCTTGGAGATATTGAGATATTTTAACATGTTCATGCCTCACAGATCTTTCTGATTAAAATCCAAAGAGAGCTGCCTTAGTCTCTGTAATTGTTACACTGAACAATCAGACCATCCATGGTTTATTTTAGGAGTGTTTTACCATCACTCACGGAAACCAAGATGATTCTTTTCCCTTGAGAGCTATGGGGCTGTGGGTGTGGCTGACTCTCAGTGCACTCATCTAGTGATGCCTTGGGTTTGAGCCCCAGCACCCCAAAAAGCATCCCCTCCACACACCCCTACTGCCTTTTTGGGTTTTCCATCTTTCCCAACACTTTGAAAGAGGCAGCCCCGAGGGACTCCAGAGTGGCCTGTGTCTTTGCCCTGACCATCTCTGCCATCACCAGCGTGATGGCGACCATGGCCTTTCTCCCTCTACAAGAAGTTCCTACTAGCCGGGGAGTTTGCCTGTCTGCAGGTGACAGCCCCACAGACAGGTGAGATTAAGTCTCAGAATCCCCCCCCTTGGTGAGATGCTTTGATTCCAAGGTGGGCACAGAACACCTGTGGGCCACACTCAAATGCAGGCAAAGTCAGCTGCCAAGGCTTGGTGGCTCTGACTGTTTGATGGAATTAAATATTCATGCCACTCCCCGGGGCCTCCCATGTGCACACACATGTACATGATTGACTGCCTGCGTTTCTGTTGCATTTTTCTCCTCTAGAAAAACAAGAATAAGAAGAAAGGCAAGGACGAGAAGTGCGGCTCAGAGGTTACCACTCCGGAGAACAGCTCGTCCCCGGGAATGATGGACGTGCACGGTGAGCCCCACCACAGCCGCTCTCCCTGCCTGGGCCTCAGGAAGCCCTAAGTTGTGTTTTTGTTCCTCTAGCAGGTTTGTTCACATTCCAGGCAGAGGGTAGGAGGGCTGGGCGAGACTACCAGGCCTCTGTGCCAAGGAGGAGCTCTTTGGAGGAGACATTTCTTCCCCTGGCGTAGCTAGCATAGAGATCACACCTTCTGCTCAGCCAGAGGCACAGACTCACAGATGATCCCAGCAGCCCTGCCCTGCCCACCCAGGAAGATCTGGGGTGTGACATGCCAGACCCATGACTGTATTTCTCATTCTCCATTTTTGCTTCCTCTAGAATGAATTTCTGAGTGGCTCATGGTCACCATAGGAACCTGGACACTGCCCTCTCTTGACAGCCCAATTTCCTGGGCTGTCTGATTTTAGAAGTTATAACATGTGTCTGTCCCATCCATCAGGGTGAGGCAGGGGTCATAATATAGCCAGTCTCCTGTTTTCACCTTGTCCACCTGTCTGTCTCTCTGTCTCTTTCGCCTTATTGAGAGGAAAGGCTCAAATCAGAGTCCTTTGGCTCCATGAAATGTCCATAAAACGCACATGCCTTATAACCAGCCCGTTCCAAAGCACAAGATGTGCTCAGCCTGCCTCTCTTATCCCCTCCTGGTGGCCCCATCCCTACAAGGAGAGCCACTGTAGACATTCAAACCTGTAGATTTTGTGAAAAAATGATTAGCTTTCTGCCACTGTAACAAAATGCTTGATTTGATGCAGTTTGAAAGAGGAGGGGTTTGTTGATTTGGGCTTCTGGCGGCAGATGGCTCAGTCCATTCAGTTGATGGCATTGTTTTGGGGCGCCTGGTGGTCTAGCCCATCATGGTGGGAGCAACAAGGTAAAGAAAGCTGCTGGCAAAAGAGGAAGAGGAACAGGAATAGTCTTCCTTGGAGGCATATGCCTGTAATCCCAGTCCTGGGGTAGGAGGGTAGGGACAGGAAGGTCACTACAAGTCTGGAGACAACCTGGGCGACATAGTGAATACTAGACCAGCCTGGACTATGGAGTGAAACGGTGTCTCAAAATCCAGGGGGCCAAGGGGACCCCTTCAGTGGCCAGAAGATCTCTCCCAAGGCCAAGGCCCCGCCTCTTAAAGTCTCTTCTGCCTCCAACTGTGCCAAGCTGAGGATTTGGCCTTTAACGCATAGACCTTTGGGGACATTTAAGATTCAAACTATAGCAGCTTTTGATATTTATAAATCAGAAACCCTGCTTTACTGCTGTTGTCTAGAAGTTGGGTGTTAATGTGGTAGAAGCAGCTGGCTAAGGCAGGAACAGCTTTCATCCCTTAGGGGAGACAAGGATGCTCTAGTCCCCCTGGTCACCCCGTGCTGTCTCTAGGTTGGCCCCACCCTACCAGAGTTTACTGTGCTTATGTTTTCTTCTCTCCTCCTCTCTCCCTAGTTGATTTATTGTTTGTTTGTGTTTGGTTCTGGAGAACAGTGTCTCACTGTTTAGCCCTGGCTGGCGTAGAACTCATTGTGTGGAGTAGGCCGGCTCGAAATTCAGACATCTAAACTATCTCTGCCTCCTGAGTATTGGGACTAAAACTATGTACTGCCACACCCCATACATTTATGTATGATATGTGCACACGCTATTGCATACATGTGGAAGTAAGTCATATCTCTCCCCCCACCCATGTGGGTCCTGAGGGTTGAACTCAGGTAACCAGGCTTGGTAGCAAGTACCTTTAAGATCTACTGAGCCATTTTGCCAGCCCTGTATTGGGGAATTTTGGGAATTTTTTGTTGCTTGGTGGTTTTTTTGTTGTTGTTCTTGGTGGTGGTGGTTTTGTTTTGTTTTTTGTTTTTGTTTTTTTGTTTTGTTTGGTTTTTTTTTTGAGACAGTATTTCACTCTCCAGCTCAGGCTGGTCTAAAATTTATTATGTAACTCAGGCTGTCTCAGACTTGAAGTGATTTCTTGTCTCTGCCTCCCAGGTACTGGATATGAGTCCAGACTTTGATCTTAATTTTAATGTTTTTACTTTTTGAAGTTTTTTATTACATCTCTTTGTATGTGAGTCAGGGAGACATTCATACTACAGTGTCAGAGGACAACTTGTGGGGAGGTGGTTTTCTCCTTCCAGCAAGTGGGTTCAGGTCATCAAGCTTAGTAACCTGCCCCTTCCCCCATTGAGCCGTCTCGATGGTCCATGTGTGTATGTGGGCTTTTGGCCATTCTAAACCTTTTGTGCAACAAGTTGGTATCCAGTAGATGAGTTAAAGTCTAACAGGAATAGTGGCCCTCTGACACAGCCTGCCTCATCCTGGCAAGGCAGAGGCAGTAAGTACGCTCGTATCTTAGTCAGGGTTACTATTGCTCTGATAAACACATGGTCAAAAAGCATTCACCTTACACTTCCATATTCTGTTTATCATCGAAGGAAGTCAGGACAGGAACTCAAGCAGGGCAGGATCCTGGATGCAGGAGCTGATGCAGAGGCCATGGAAGGTGCTGCCTACTGGCTTGCTCCTCATGGCTTGCTCAGCCTGCTTTCTTATAGAACCCAGGACCACCAGCCCAGGGGTGGCCCCACTCACAGTGGGCTGGGCCCTCCCTCATCAGTCACTAATTAAGAAAATGCCCCAGGCTTACCTGCAGTCAGATCTTACGGAGATATTTCCTTAATTGTGGTTCCCTCCTCTCTAATGACTCTAGCTTGTGTCATAACATTATCCAGCCCACCTCATTTACCCAGACTAACCTTTCTGGATCCTCAGTCCCTGGCACTTAGTCAAGGAGCCTTATTTCTTAGTGACTTGGCTTCATAAAAACACAACGGGGTTTTGCTGCTGCTTAGTGAACAAAGACCCAAGATCCCACTGAGAGTAGTGGCACAGGCCTGTAATTCTAGCTCTCCAGAGACAGAGGCAGAGGGACCAGGGGTTTGAGGAGAACCTGGGCTACAAGAGACCCAGCCTCAAAAAAAAAAAAAAAAAAAACCAGAAAACTAAGGTTGAGGATGTGGTTCCACAGACAGAGTGTTCACCCGGCTTGCACAAAAAGCTGTGGGTCCTATCCCTGGTCTGTGTAAAGTGGGTATGCAGGTACAGGTCTGTAAACCCAGACATGGAGAGAGAGGAGCAGGAGAATCAGAAGGTCAGGGTCATCCGATAAGTATCAACCTGGCATCTAGAATTCATTTTCTTTTCAGGATGAGGCATGGAATATGGCCTGTTTCCGTGGTATTCAGAAGCAGCCCCTCTCTGACTTTGCCAGGACCTCCCTTACTGCCATCTTGAGTTAGTGATGTAACCTCTAGCCTTCTGGCTGGTTTTAACCTGTAGAATGCGGTGGCAGTGCCTGCTTCATGAAGTCCTTGTGATGATTGGATGAGCCTTGGCATGTGGTTTGTTTGTTTGTTTTGCATTGGTGTTTGGCCTGCATGTATGTGTATGTCTGTGTGAGGGCGTCAGATCTTAGAGTTACAGACAGTTGTTAGCTACCATGTGGGTCCTGGGAATTGAACCTAGGTCCTCTGGAAGAACTGTCAGCGTTCTTAACCACTGAGCTATCTGTCTAGCCCCAAGCCTTGGCATGTTAACAGTTACCATGTATGAAGTCTTCACAATGTGGCAAGTGTCTAGTAACAAGGCAACTCTCAGGATGAAGTAAAGCAGAGAGGTAAAGTCAACTCGCTCCACTAGGAAGCGGATAACTAGAGCTAGAGTTAACATGTGAGAGTCCTTGTGGACAGGATCTAGAAACCTGCACTAATGTGGAAAGAGCCAGCTCCTGGACATAAGCAACGTGTCCACCTTCTCCATCATTTTCATTTTAGCTCATGAACAACCAGGACCAAGGCAGGGATGACCAAGCATGTGGGCCTGGGAACAAATGTGGGCCTGACAAGAGTGTTCCAGAAGGCTGGGGAAGGAGCACAGCACACGCTGTGGAGGTCACCCACACTGGTGTCTGTAGTTTACAGATTCAGCTGTGTCAGCTGTGTGGATCACCTTTCCCAGGCCTGGCCCCACATCTGCCTGGTTGGATGTTAATGTTCACTGTCATTTATTAACAGAATTTTCATCACACGTGCATTGGAGTCTTGACCTAGGAAAGTTTAGACTTTCTTGAAGGTAAATGAGGAGAGCACACATTTTTTCAAGTCAAGAATTCACAAGAGGATGCTGTTATGTAACCAGCACTCGGGAATGTAGTTCAATGAGATCAGCTGGGCTGTGTGACCGCCTGGCGCTCCCTCCAAGTAGCGGTAAAGAGAAGCCAGGGGTTGAGAGTTGGTCCAGATCAGATGGGAAACACACTGGGAAGATAGAGAGAGGATGGCAATGAGTTTAAGGTTGGCAATGCCAGCATAGTGAATTTGAGGCCAGCATGAGCTTCATGAGACTCTATCTTAAAAACAAGCAAACAAACAAAAATACCAAAGGGACAACAGGTAGATCTGAGGGATGAATTCTCCCATCTGTAAAATTTTTGGTAGCATTACCAGGTATGTACATGCCCCTCAGTATGTTGTTGATTAAATGCAGTGTCTGGGCATGGTGGTGCACCTGTAGTCCCCAGCTTTGTGGAAGTTGAAGCCAGAGGACTGCTCAAGGCTATGAGTTTTGGGCTAGCCTGGACCACATGGAAAGGCCTTGTTTTTAGATCATAACAGGGTATGTGTAAATGCTCTTTCTCGGTTCGTGACACACAGTAGGTCTGGAGCTCTTGGAGTGCCTCTGGCTCCTCCTTTTCTCAAGGCCCCACATAAAGCATTGCCTACAAAGAGCCTCAGATCACAGTGCTATTTATTTCGTTTGCATGTCAGTTTGAAGTCCTGACTAGCCTGAACTCACGATGTAGAGCAGGGTGCCCTGAAATTATCAGTAGTCCTCCTGGTTGTACTCCTGAGTGCTAGGATCATGAGCATGAGCTGCCATGTAGAGTGTTTTGTAAGACCAACACTTGGATATCTTTGGTCTAAAATGACTGTGTCCTACTTAGTTACCTGGCAGAGGAGAGATCCTGATCCAGAAGGTGGTTCCCAAGGATTCCTCCATTACCCTTGAGGTTTGCTGATTCACACATCACCCCTGTGATTCTCCCCAGTGTGGGAAACTCAGCTGTGTCATTTGTGGGTTTTAGGGATGTGATTATGCTTTCCCCTATAAAAAGAAAAGAAGGAAACAAAATGTACCCATGAAGGGGTTCAGGACAAGGGGAAGTGTACCCTGGGCTCTGGACCTGTCTCCAACTTAACCGGGAATGCCACTCTCTGTCCCATTTCCTCCCATGTCTTCATCAGTGTCCTTGTAGAGAAAACAGGGTGTAATGAGCCCTGCTTCAGTTTTTTTATGAACACTGGGCCATATTTGCCACATGCTTTTTAATGTATTGTTTTCCATTGACTTAGTTTACATAAAAACCACTTGTCTGTGGAGCCTGGCAGTTGCCTACAGTTTGAGCTGAAGTCTATCTCCCTACCTTTTAATCCGTAATCCCTATGTTTAATCCGTAATACCCATCTCAGCATATGTTGTCAAAGGGTGACATTTCCCCAGACCCACTGTGCCATTATCTCTTCTAGCGAAGTTAACAACAACCCCTAATAACTTTAATAACAGTCCAGACCATATGCTAATTTCCCAATTGTTCCTAAATGTGTTTTAGTTGGTGTGTTCCAAATTAGATCCCAATAATTGGTTAGGTCTCATATTTCTTCATTTCTTCAATATTTAGTATTCTTGCTCATTTTTCCTTCCTTATAGTTGTTGGGTTTTTGTTGTTTTTTTTTGTTTGTTTTGTTTTGTTTTTGGCTTTTTTTCCCAGGATAGGATGGAAGCCAGGACATTATGAAGGGAGAGAACTTGTTTTCCTGTGAGCCATATGCCAGTCCTCTTTTGATGGCCAGGCAGGGGAAATGGCTTAGTGTGTAAAAGCACTTTCATAGAAAGCCTGAAGACCCAAGGTCAGATTCCTGGAAAATCTGAAATGCCAGACTGGTCTCTGACCTTTGCACAGGTGTGTGTCCTTGCACACAAAATGTGTACACACCAAAATAAATAAGTACATAAACCCTTTGTTTGCTTTTAGGACAGGATCTTCCAAGGCAGGCGGAACTCAAGAGATCCATCTGCCTCTGCCTTGTGTACCAGGATTAAAGGTGTGTGCCACCATGTCTGGCCCTAAAGCAATGTTTTTTAAAAGTTGTTTGTGGGGTTAGTGTGGGAACTGGGGAGATGATGGCTCAGTGGTTAAGAGCATTGGTTGCTCCTCTGGATAACCTGAGTTCAATTCTCAGCACCTAAATGGAGGTTCACAACCATTTGTAACTCCAGACCCAAGAGACCCAGTGCCCTTCTCTGGCACCTGTGGGTGCTGGGCCATGCGTGCTACACAGACTTACATGTGAACAGAACATCATCCACATGAAATAATTTTTAAAAATTTGTGGGCAAGGCTGTAGAGATGGCTCAAGTAGTTAAAAGCTCTTGATGCTTTTTCAGAGGACCTGAGTTCAATTTCCAGCAGTAGTCAGATGGCTCACAACTAACTCCAGCTCCAGGGGATCCAAAGCCTCCAATGGGCACCTCCACTCAAGTGTATATATACCCACATGCACACACACAGACGTATCACACAATTAAAATAAAGGCACTCAGGAGGCAGAGGCAGGTGGATCTCTGAGTTTCAGGCCAGCCGGGTCTACAGAGTGAGTTCCAGGACAGTCAGTGTTGTTACATAGAGAAACCTTGTCTCAAAAAAAGCAAAACAAATTTTAAAATAAATCTTATTTTTTAAAAAAAAAAAAAAATGATTTCAGGATTGGAGAGATGGAGGAGTGGCTAAAGGCATTTCACTTGTAGAGGACCTGGACTTTGTTTCCATGACCACTCTGCAGCTACCTGTAAGCTCTAGTTGCAGGGACTGGTCTCTGCCCTCCATAAGCACCTGTATGTAATGGTGCATGGAACTGCTTGCAGACACACGCATACACATAAGAAAGAAAGTGCTCTTGCCCCGTCTGGCCTGAGACTCCCAGAGGTCCACCTGCCTCTGCCTGCCCAGTGCTGGAATTAAAGGTGTGTGCCACCATGTCTGGCTTTCCTTTTATTTTGCATCCACAGGAATCCAGTCTGGAGCTTCAGGAAATGAGGTGGAATGTCTTAATAATACTATTTCATGGCTAGCTGCACACAATACCTGTTTCTTCACCATCCAGATTAGGTCTCATTACACCAAAGGTTTTTTAATTCAATATTTTTGTCCTTTGAGAATTTGGTGTATGTATACCATGTATTTTGATCATATTCATCCCATATAACCTCCCATATCCACTCCATTCCCTCCCATCTTCCTGTCTTCTGTGTTCCCATATTTTAAAAAAGATTATTTTCTTTTTCTTTTATTTTTCAAAACAGGGTTTCCCTGTGTAGCCTTGACTGTCCTGGAACTCACTCTGCAGACCAGGCTGGCCCCAAACTCACAGAGATCCACCTGCCTCTGCCTCCAGAGTACTGGGATCAAAGGTGTACACCACCACCACCCAGCAAGATTATTTTCTATCTGGGCAGTGTGGCACACACCTTTAATCCAGCATTTGGGAGGCAGAGTCAGGTGGGTCTCTTGAGTTTGAGGGCAGCCTGGTTCACATAACAAGTTCCAGGTCAGCTAGGGCTACATAGTGAAACCATGTCTAAAGAAAAACATGTTTGGGTCAGCTGCCATGGAAGTGGAATTATGGATGTTTATAAACAGCCGTGTGGGTGCTGGTAGCCAAACCTGAATCCTCTAAGAGCAACCAGTGTTTTTCAATGCTGAGCCCTCCCTCTAGTCCTGTGTATTCTCTCTCTCTCTTTTGAGATAACCCACTGACTCTAATTTGTGCTGCTCATACATTCATAGGTATGGCCAAGTCCACGTGAGCATGGTCAGCCTACCAAGGGCAACACCCTTAAAGAAAACAGACCCTCCCTCCCCCCAGAAGAGTCAAGAGCCCCTCCTTCATGCTGTTAGGCTGCCTGGCTTCATCTTTAAGCAGCTAAGCTACAGTGCCTTCAAGATGTGGCTATGGTCCTGTCAAGGCCAGGACCGTTATCTGTTTTGTCTGGCAAGCCCCAGACCTCCTTAATTAGCGAATGGCCGTGGGGAGGTGTGGAGAGGAGGTCATCAGGAAAGCTCTGAGACTCCCTGGCCTCACAGGCTGTGTGTTGAAGCATGGGAAAGCTGAGCCCCCTCCCACACACATGCACACATGCTCCCCTCTCCTCAGCAGCCATAGGATATCAACCTGTGCTCTGTTCCTGTGCAGATGAAAACAGCAACCAGAGCTCCATAGCAGACGCCTCCCCCATCAAACAGGAGAACAGCAGCAACTCCAGCCCTGCCCCAGAGCCCAACGCATCTGTGCCCAGTGATGGCCCTGAAGCCAAGACTGATGAGGCACAAGCTGATGGAAAAGAGCACCCCAGCCCTGAAGGTATTTGCTGTCCAGGGACAGGGCACAGAGGGGCTGCTGCCTAGCAGCCTGCAGCCAAATAAGCCTGGGGTATTTTAAGGAGGCTTTGCTGTATGCCAAGCCTAGACCATGACTGTAGAAGAAAAGTAAGGCCTGGTTTAGAGCCATTAAAGAAGGAGAAATCAGCAGGGCGGTAGTGGGGCACTCCTTTAATCCCAGCTCTCGGGAGACAGAGGCAGGCGGATCTCTGTGAGTTCGAGTCCAGCCTGGTCTGCATAGTGAGTTCCGGGACAGCCAGGGCTATTATATAGAGAAACCCTGTCTGGGGTGGGGGGGCAATAAAATTAAATAGCAATCACTAGAATTAGAAAAGGTGTTGAATTATGAAGGTGGTTAGGAAAGGCTTTTTGTGGTAAAGTAAAGCAGGTAAAGATGTTGGTTGAGTAAACAATTCAGGAGGCTATCTGAGAGAAGAACACTGGGCAGACAAGCAGGTGGTACAAAGGCCCTGAGGCAGAGGCAAGGTCAGTGTGGCAAGAGAAATGAGGGATTGGAAAGCTAAGACAGAGGGGCTGGGCTCCAAAGTCGATGAGCTCATAAGGCCACTGTTCCCTGGCATTTTTTTTTTTTTTTTTTTTAATGAGCAGTGAGACAAGACCATGGTTGACAAGACCTAAAGAACTGAGAAAAGGTGTATGGTGCTTAGGGTGGAGGTGGCAACGCCTTTGTGAGACTGCAGCCTTTGTCTGTGTGAAAGAGGGTGGTAGCTAGGCCCCAGCGGGAGCAGAAGGAGTGGTGTAAGTACTAATAACTGCTGGTGGGTGGTATAGAGCTATAATCCCAGCCGTGGAGGCTGGTATAAGGTGATCAGTGTGGAGGTCAGCCTGAGCTACAGAGCAAATCTATGACCAACCTAGAACAAAACAAAAAAGTTTGAGAGATGGCTTAGCAGTTAAGAGCGCTGGCTGCTGTTTCAGAGGTCCTGAGTTCAATTCCCAGTACCTGTATGGTAGCTCACAACCATCTCTAGTGGAAACTAATGCCCTTTTGTGCATATAGGAGTACATGCAGATAGAACACTTATACATAAAGTAAATAAATCTTAAAAAATAAAAAAAGAGGACCCAGGTTTTGATTCCCAGCTACTACATGGTAGCTCACAACTCCAGTGCCTTGGTGTACAGTCCAGTGCCCTTTTCTGGTCTCCAAGGGCACTTCATGCATGCAGTGTACTTACATGTAGTGAAACACTCAAACACATGAAATAAAAACAATAGATAAAAGGCTAGAAATGTAAGTTAGTGATAGCGCTCTGACCAAGCATGCAAGGACAGTAGGTTTAACACCGGCCCCCACACCCACATGAATATGGAAGCCCTGTTGGAGTTTCCTCCAGGGAGGAAATGGGTAATATGATTTCTTTCTGCCTCAGCACTGTTAGCTTTGGAGGCTGAGGAATTCTTTGCTGTGGGACTGTCGTATATGTTCAGAATGCTGCATAACACCCTGCTTTCTGCCAGTAGCTCCCTGTCCCCTAGTTACGGCACACACGCGCGCGCGCACACACACACACACACACACACACACACACACACACACACACCAGAAAAGTTTCCTTATGATTGCCCTAGTGGCTTTGCTAAAGCCCTGTGCCATTTACATCTGTGAGCATGACCTCTCATCTCCCCCTTGAGGGCCCTTGTAAGCAGGACAGACCCACTAGGCTTCCCAGCATCTTACTGGTTAAGTAACACTTAAGGCAGAAAGTTCAGGGGCTGGGATGGGCCTTAGCCACAGCCAAACTGCTGTTTACTACAGTGTGGCCTTGGACGGCAGCATCAACTCCTATCCACCTACCTGTTTTCTTGTTTCTAAAATGGGACCGATAAAAGTGGCGTCCCTTGTCAGGGTGTCACAAGGAATAAAGGAGGTGGGGATAGCAGCAAAGTGCCCAGCAAACCTCTGGGGTGGAGGAAGGGGCTGGGGAGCTGGGGTGAGCCCCCATCCCCCCACTATCTGTGTGAGGGGGGTAGTTCTGAGGTTACTAAGGGCAAGTGTGGTCATGTCTGAGCCCCCTTGTCTTCTGGCCTATCCTGCTGTCTGGCTCCAGCCTTATTCCCCATTAGAATCTGGGTCCCCTTCCCCCTAACAGGCCGGTTAAGCTCAGCTGTAAATTACATTTGGGGTGACGCTTCTGTGATCGCTATCTTTTTTATCTCCTCACCCCAGCTCACCGAGTACTTTACAAGCCCAGGTAGAAATCATACCAGGATCCTCTTCCAGTTACCCCAAGCCACTGGACTTGTACCCACCTGCCCCAGCCCTCATGCAAAGGGCATAAGCTCAGGATCATGTGATCTCCCCACCGGCTCATAAACTGGGGCAGGGTGGGTCAGCCACCAGCTGTTGACCTTGCTTTGAACTTGTTTACTGCTGGGTAAGCGCAAGGAATGACATAATGTCCAAGCTCCCCGGACTAAATTTAGGCCCCGGGAAAATAATTTCCCCTGGGTGCGTTCCAGAGGCACCAGGACGCTCAGAGAACAGGCTGCTGTCCTGAGCCCTCCCTGGCACGCTGTGAGCTGCACCATTGGCTCCCTCTGAGCCAGCAGGCCTGGCTCTCAAGGAAGCCTCAAGCCCAGGCATGCCTGTACCAGCAAACAGGCTTTGTGAATCTCCAGATCTCCTGTGACTGACTGCTTGGGGAGCCTTAAACCCTCCTCCCACTCCACTGCAGATCCCAATGCATGCAGAAAACAAACTGTCCAAGGAGGCCAAGCCACCAGTGAGGTGCATTTACAAATGTGTTTCGTTAAAGCAAGCAAATAGATTATGAAATAGAATATAAAATTAATGTGGATTTTCTTCTTCTTCTTCTTCTTCTTCTTCTTCTTCTTCTTCTTCTTCTTCTTCTTCTTCTTCTTCTTTTTTCTTTCTTTCTTCTCTCTAAGCAGAGTGTCATATAGCAGCCAAGGCTGGTCTTGAACTCTTCCTGACTTCTACCTCCCAAGTGCTGAGATTACATATATGTACTGCCATGCCCAACTTTTTTTGTTCACCCCCTTTTTTTTAATTTTTGATTGGGGCCTCACTATGTAGCCTCTGAATTCACCACCTGAAGCCTCTGTGGACTCTGTCACTGAGGGCCATGTACCCCCTCCAAGGATTAAAAATAAAATTTAAGTAAATAAAGTTAGGGAGACCTATCATTGGGGCCATGTGTGAGCAGCCCAGGCTCAGGTGTGTGAGATCTTGCAGTGTCTCCCTTATTCCCCAGAACACAGAGGCGTGCCCACCACCACCACCTGACACTGTTGATTTTAACTTTTTTTTCCTCAATAGTTAGTTCTTGCTGTGGTCACCAGAGAAACACTCTTATTATTAAGAGAAGTTTTGGGCTAGGGATTTGGTTCAGTTGGTAGGGTACTCACTTGGCCAAGCATTTTTGAAGCACTGGATTTGATCCTAGCACCAAATAAACCAGCTAAGGCACTGCACACTTGAAAGCCAGCATTAGGGCAAGGTTATTCAACTACGTAGAGAGTCTGAGGCTGGGTTAGGGGCAGCGACATGGCTCAGCGGGTAAAGGTGCTTGCCACCAAGCCTGCCAACTTGAGTTCAGTCACCAGGACTGGAATGGTAGAAGAAAACTGACCCCATCAGGTTGTCCTCTGACCTCCACACGTTCACTGTGGTCTGCAAGCACAAACCCTGAATGTGCAAATGGGGTAGGGGGGTTGTTTCGTTTTGTTTTTCGAGGCAGGGTTTCTCTAATGCTTTGGAGGCTGTCCTGAAACTCACTATGCAGACCAGGCTGGTCTCGAACTCTCAGAGATCCGCCTGCCTCTGCCTCCCGAGTGCTGGGATTAAAGGCGTGAGCCACCGACGCCCAGTTATTATTATTTTTTTTTTTTTAAAAAAAAGATTAGAGGCTAGGGAGATGGCTCAATGGTTAGAGCATTGCTGCCCTTGCAGTGGACCCCGGTTTGGTTAAAAGCACCCCATTGGTGGTCCAGAGCTGTCTGTAACTCCAATTCCAGGGCGCCAGTCGGTCCTCCCTGGTGTCCGCAGGCAATGGGCACGGGCCATGCACAGGCATACATGCAGGCACAAACCCATCCATGTAAAAGAAAAATAGATAACTCTTGGGAAAACTTGGTTAAAAAGAGAGGTGAGTGTTCAAGAGTCAGCTGTGATGTTAGAAGAATGCTAGTTCTCGCTTTGGCCATGGTTTGTCTCTGGAACCAGGAGACAGCCATGATTGCTATGTTCCCCGGTGCCCAGCAGAGGGCGCCAGACACTGGCAGCATTGCATACGAAGTAATCCCCTTTAGGCAGAGTAGGTATGTATGTATGGAAGGAGGATTGGAGAACCGCAGAGCCTATGGCCTTGCTATTTATAACCGCCTTGCTAGCAGATGAACGGGAAACTTCCCAAACTTCAGCCCATCTAGCTCTAGAAGCCACAAGCCACAAAACTACCCAGATCCGGGTATTTTTAGTACTTGACCCATCTGGTGCTACTTCTCATGTGTCTGAAAACAGCTTCTGTTGTCTTGTTCTTTGCTCAGATGCTTCTGATGAGCAGAATTCACAGTCTTCGATGGAAAACTCAATGAACAGCTCAGAAAAAGTGGAACGGCAGCCATCTGCAGAGTCGGGGTTGGCAGCAGAAACTTCGGCAGTCTCTCAGGTACCTGCAGCCAGGCCTCACTGGGGTGGGGCTAGGGTTCTCCGTGGTCCATGGGAAGTCGTGCCGCTTCACTGTGGAACACTGTCCTGTTAGCCTCTGTCACCTGGAGCCACCATGATGGGAGGGACATGAGGTCGTGCTTCCGGAAGTGTCTGGGGTAGAGCATGCCACTCTGTCATTCTAGTCTCAGCTTGGTAACTGTATTATTTGGGTCCCAGTAACCCCACATCCTTTATTGCTAAACCTGAAGGCCAGATTATTCTTTGGAATTTGGCTTCTGATCCAGCTGTCTGCTCAGACCCTTTTCTTTGTAGTAACAGCATCAGCATCTTTCTTGGATTGTGCAAACACAAGGCCCAGGAGGCAGATACGATGGAGTCTACCCCAGGTTCAAATCCAGCTCCAACCCACTGGGTATGGAGGTGCAGGCCAGTAATCCCAGCTCCTTGGGAAGTTAAGGCAGGAGAATCAAGTTCAAAGCCAGCCTAGGAGACTTAATGAGAGTCCATACATCTCTGTCTGGCCTGCCTTATGACCTTCCTACCTGGCATAGGACCAGATCTTCAGGTCCTAATCATGGTGCTATCGTCGGTGTAAGAAGGGCATTAGACACAGAGAGGTTAGGGAGGGAGCTGGGGCTGTAGCTCACTGACAGAGAACCTGCTGATCGTGTCTGAGGGCTCAGGTGCTGTCCACAGCTTCATCTTTCAGTACCTGGGCATCTGCCATTGCCAAGCTTCAAACTGTCAGCTACCAGTGAAGATGAGACAAGAAAATATGGCTAAGCCGGGTGGTGGTGGCAGACGCCTTTAATCCCGGCAGAGGTAGGCAGCTAGATCTCAGTGAGTTTGAGACCAGCCTGGTCTACAAGAGCTAGTTCCAGGACAGCCTCCAAAGCCACAGAGAAACCCTGTCTCATAAAAAACAAAAAAGTAGTCAAAGTTCATTATAGACCACAGATGTCATCTGTGTTGATATAAGAGGGGCTGGAGAGATGTTACGGGGTTAGGAGCACTTACTGCTTGCAGAGACTCAGGTTTAATTCCTAGCACCCACACAGGAGCTCACAACCATCTGCAGCTCCGGTACTGTGGGATCTGGTGCGCTTCCATACATACATTCATACATATAAAATGAGTAAATACACTTTTAAAGAAAATTTTCAAAGCTGTCAGATTCAAGAGCGTGAGTTGGGTGTAACTCAGTGGCAGAGCGCTTGCCTAGCATGTCCCAGCATGGGACAGGGAAATGAAGAAAAACGTTCATATTGTACTCCCTCTGGGGTCAGGAGGACCCCTTTCTGCTGGCCTGAGTCTCAAATGTCTTTCTCCCTTGTCCTCCCCTCCCATTCCTCCTGAGAGCCCAGGGACCGCCCAGGCTAACTCACCCCTATGAGATCCTCAGTTCAGCGGAGAACTGTTCCTTCAGATAGGAAGCAGCAGCCCCGGGAGCACCTTTGCCCATTGTGTCCTCATACACCTGTGTCTCCCTTTAAAAAGCAAACGGGAAAGCAGGTGTGATGGTGCCCGCCTTCAATCCCAGCACTTGGGAGGCAGAAGCAGGCTGATAGCAGTGAGCTGAAGGCTAGTCTAGTGTAGATATTGAGTTCCCAGCCAATTGGGGCTGCATAGTGATACCCTGTCTCAAAGAGGGGGGAGGGTGGGCAGCAAGATGACTCACTGATAAAGTACTCGCACCAGGCCTGATGACCTGAATTCGAAGTCTAGGACCCACATGTTGGAAAGAGAAAAACGACTCCCTCAAGCTGTCCTCTGACCTCTGTACACGTGTTGTGTTATATACATACATGTCCATGTGCATACACACAATATATATAAAGAATGAATGTTGCAGGGGATGATGTACAATTTAGGAGGCAGAGGCAGGAGGATCTCTGACTTTGAGGCCAGCCAGGGCTACTCAGAGAAAACCTGTCTCCAAAACCGCAAAAAGCAAAAATGAATAAATGTAATAAAACATTAAATTGAATCCCAAAGACTAGTGAGGAAGAGGGTTCCCTGATGCCAAGTCCTGTCCACAGTCCTCGGAGAAAGCTCACTCAGCCTTCTGGTTAGTTCTGATGCCCAAGCTGGTGCTCCCCTCGTCACCGTTAACACAGTTAACACAGCGCATGCTACAGGCCAGGCCCAATTCCAGGACCAGGGCTGCTCAGGCAGAGAAGTTCAATAGACAGACACAGGACACTAAGTCTCTGTCTTGAGATGGCATAGGTTGGGGTGAGGAAGCATGAGGCAGGTGACTTGGACCCTCTTTAGATTGAGAGCGTCTCCTGTGTCTGAAGTTGGAGACCCATGAGCCCAGGAAGAGGACAGGCTTCAAGACAGGAAGGACCAAGTCAAGGAACCAAAGAGCAAAGAACACTGGGTAGCTAGAGCCTGCTGGTCCAGGAGAGGAATGGCCAGGGGGAGGAAGTGGTCGCTGGGGCTGGCCTCCTGCCCCCCCCCCCCCAGCACTGGAAAGAGGTCAGGCTTGTGTTTTACAGTCAAGGGGCAAATGCTGGAAGCCTTTGTCCCCATGAGTGTTTGCAGCTTAAGGAGCAGGCTCAGGTGGTGTTTCATGGCATCTGTAAAGAGGCCACAGAGAAGCAAGCAGTGGCAGCTCAGAGATAGACAGGCTCTAATGGCTTCAGTAGGGTGACTCTGCTAGTGAAGGGGGAGGGGGGGCAGATGGAAAGAGGGGGCTGCAGGGTGCCGTCCAGGCGCAGGCTTTCTTCCATGCCTGTGGTAACCCGACGACACTGCAGAAGCTGGGGAGCTGCAGTTAGCATGGATACTGCCTGGAGTTTGGTCTCGGTGATGGCTGAGGTCTGAGAGACCAGAGGTGACTGCTGGTGAATGAATAACTTCTTGAGTGGTCATAAGACTTCTTGGGAATTCAGTGTCAAGAACAGACCACATCCCCCAGAATAATGTCCATGTGTCCATTCAACAAAGGCTGAGCATTTGCACCAAGCCAGGTACCTTTAGCCCAGGGGACAACAGTCCACACAGCAGAGTAGCTCTGAGTGTTTTGGGAAACCACCTTGGGGTAGAGGTAGGGTTGCCCAACTGAAGCTTATGCAGAGGTGCTTACCTCTACAATTAGTTACAGATCGGAAGACTGGAGTCACAAGGGGAACTTGGTCTAGGCTGTGTGGAATCAAAGGCCAGGGGCTAAAAATATAAAAATACAGAGGGATGGCACATGTCACGGCTCAGAATGACAGTGGTGACAGAGGAGATGGGTTTCACACGCTCTCCAAAGCGTTTGGACTTAAAGTTCGCCGTGTGTCTGGAACCTCTCCTCCTCCCAGGTGGTGCTCATGGGTTCAGTGAGAGCCACCAAGTGTCCTCTCAGTTCCCTCTGGAGCCAGCCTGCCGTCCCTCCTGTGACCTAACCCCCTCCCTGCTTACACAGTCACTTCTCTTCTTCCCCCCGAAGGATATGGAAGGAGCACCACCCTCTAAAAAGATGAAGCTGGAATGTTCTCAACAGAACTCTGAAGAGATGTAGAGGCCCAGTGGAACCCTTCGGTCCATGTTTCATGGCAGGTACATCAGCAGGCTTAATTCTAGAACGCTGCCCAAGCGATTCCTCTTGGGCGCGAGCAGAACTAATGTTTCAAGTTTACTAAGTGCAAATCCAAGAAAAACCTAGAACGGCGGAACTTCTCAGACACTGATGAACTGTGCTGTGAAGACAAACACTCCAACCTTCACGTGACCGTCCTTGGGGAGGTGGGTCGGCCGCTCAGGAGTGTCTGCACACTGTCTCGGAAGCCAAGATTACATTTGTGTTGCTGCTGTATCCCCTGCCCCCACATCTCTATTTAATGATATAAGCTATTTGAGGGTGGTACCAATCAGGAATTTGCTTTTCATCGGGGCTTTTTCACTCTTCAACCAATTCCTTCCTTCCGCTTTCTTTTTTTGTGCCTTGTACCCTAGAGGTTACCTCTGGCATGCTTCCTGGTTTTCGCATCCCTCCTGGCAAAGTGCCCATCGGTTTTGGTTGGCTGCTGCCCCCTTCCTGTCCCTCTCCTCCCTGCCCTGAGACTGCGTCAGAGCAGGTGGGGTAGAGCAGCAGGAGGCCAGGCACCTTTCGGCGGCTCTTGGTTCAGGTGGGCAGTGTTTGGGCACACCCAGGGCCCTGCGTGGAGTCAGTCCCAACTTCCAGGGCCCCTAGGGCTCTACGTGTCAGCCTCATTTCCCAAGGGATGGCCTCCTTGGTTCAGGACATGCCCTGACCTCCTGGAGCCATGGAGGCTAGGGGCTTGCAAGCCACAGCAGCCCAGATTGACATGCAAAGCCTTCGGATTCTTCCGGCACTTCTACCCTGTCTCCCCCGGACTCTAGCCACCCCCGGCACTGCTTTCTCCGGCCCTCCAAGGACCAGATGACTGACTGTGAGCTTGTCTCCTTAGGATAGCACAGGGCTGGGGAGGTTGGGAGCAGGCAGCAGGGTTAGCTGGTGCTGAACTCTCCCACTGGACATTGCTTGGATTTCAAATCCATGGAAACCTGCTGCCCTTTGTCCCTGTCCCCACCCCCACCCCAAATCCCAGGCAAGATGCTCCTGGTATCATGTTCTGACTCTCAGAGGCAACAGGTGGATGGCGTCTCATTCCCAGCGCGTGCTGTCGGCTCCCACTGGGAAGCGGACCTTAATGATTGGGCCTCAAAGGCTGGAAACAAGGCACTGGGAAGATTTGCACACACCCCCAGAAAGGAGCCACGGAGGCTCCCCCTTCCCTTGCCCTCGATTGCACCGAGACAGCTTTCTCTCTCTCAGTGGAGACACCCTTGGACGAACTGCCCAACTGTTGAGTTCTGAGGCCTGGGTAGCCCTTAATTCCTCCACAGACCCCGCAGACCTTGAAGCTTCCCCTAGGCTTTCTTACTGCACTGGAGTTCTCAACTCCCTACGAGTTGTGTGTTGGGGTGGGGGGAGCGGGATGTTTTGGGGGTTTTTTGTTTTGTTTTGTTTTTTTGTTTTTGTTTTGTTTGCTAACTGGTGCATATTCAGGTACCACCTTTTGACGTGTGGATCTTTCTCTTAACCACCATGAGAAGTGTCTGCCAGGCTCCATTTTCTAAGCGTTTCTGAGGGGAGAGCTCCTATTTCTTTTTGTTTTCAAGGGAGCTGTCTATTTCCTATACTTCACGAAGAATCAAAATGTTCCTGAATTTTAAATACCTCATGCAAAAATATCTCCTGAAATAAGGGGGGAAAAAAACTTTGAAAATCTTAATGTTGAAGTTAGCAATGCTAAAATGTTTCTGTCTTAAGAAAAAAAAAAATCTTGTACTTAGCAATTTTGCCCCTCAGGCAGTCAGTTCTATGAAGAACTGTGTTCTGTATCTTTGCTGCAAAGCAACTAGATGCATGACCTCCAACATATCTCAAGGTCAAGGCGGCTTTACCTCCAGATTCTAGAGTTAGGGCAACATTTTTCTTTTGCAGCAAAACTCCATTTTGATGAAAGATAAATTTGGATATTTATTTCTTTTTCTGGGAAATGAGAGGTTACAACATACACAGCAGAAGGGGAACCCAACACATGCATCCATGGAGCCAGCAGGGCGGCCAGGACTGCCTGCACCTCTTCTGTCCACTGCAGCCTCTCCCGACAGTCAAGAGAAGTTGACACATTTGAGGATGAGGACAACGATGAGGTCCATGGTACCCAGGCTGTCATTAGTTTTTCTCTGAAGTGCCTGAAGGTAGGAATGGGCCGTTGATGGGGACCATCCGGATGCCCCCACCCCGACGGCCACGCCAGGCAAAGAGCCAGCAGCCCTGTACTGCACGCTGGCCAGGAAAGCCTTCCACGCGGAGCGGTCAGACTGCAAAATCCAATGTGCTTCCTTCCCCGCCACGGTCCTCTCTCTGGAGCCGATGGTCCCCATCCCTGAACCCCTCGCCCTCATCCCCGCCACAGAATCTAAGACCTTTCATCTGGCCGAGCCAGGGGCTGGGGATCCCAAGCAAATGCCTTCCGTGGACATCAGGCCCCATGGCCTAAAGGGCTCCCAGGGCAAACTTCCCCCAAAACTTGAAGGTGGGGGATGGCGGCTATACACATTCCACTAAGTGCTGGCACTTACCCCACAACCCTGAAGGCTATTGACCGATTCTTAGAGGGTGGTGACTGCCCATCATCGGACGGTGTCATGGTTTGGAATGTTAATTATTGCCCGAGGACCTGGTTAGAGATATAAAGACCTTTTTTTTTTTTTTTCACTGTTACCTATTTTTTTCCTCTTACAATTTTTTTTTGTGTGTGTGCTGTACAGCAGTATAATTTTTCACTTATTTATTCCATCAGTAGATATTGTTTGTACAATGTACAATGGTTTCATTTCAGAAAATAAAAAAATTCAGATCATGAGTTCTGTGGTTTAACCCATTTTAATAAAGAATAGCGTCAAGTAGGTAATGAGGATGCCCTCCCCCAAGCCTCTTCTGCACCAGTCTGGAAAGTTCCTTGTAGGAGACTCTGCCGCTGGACAGAGTTTTGACAGCTGCCATTATTAAACACCAGGTGAGACCAAGGACAGCCACTCCGACACTCCTTCTTGTGGGTAAGTGTTGTCAATCACCTTGTACGCCAGAATGAACAGCAAGGTTGTGCTTGTTAAGTCTGGATAGAGAGCTCCAGTCTAAAAGCTATACCTGGGAGCCAGGATTTGTGCTGCACACCTACAATCCCAGCACTTGGCAGGCTGAGGCAGAGGGATTGCTGAGAGTTCAAGTCCTGGACTACTTAGCAAATGGCAAGCTAGCCAGGGCTACATAGCAAGACCCTTCCCCCCTAGTTCCAATTCTCAGTACCACATAAAACAGGGAGGTGGCACAATCCCAGCATTGGATTCGGGAAGGTGGGCAGGAGGATTTAGAAGCTCAAGGTTTTCCTAGCTACATAGCAAATTCCAGGTCAGCTTGGGATACAGGACACCAAAAGAGAAAAAAAGATCCTGTCAAGGAAGCAATTCTGGCAGGCAAATTCTGAAGAGGATGAGGAGGGAAGATCAAAGGCTTGAGCCAGCTTGGACTAGACCTTTCAAAAGGGCTGGAGAGCTATTCAGCAGCTAGTGGTACTTCCGTCCTTGCACAGGCCCATGGTTCTGCCGGGACCCACGTGGCAGCTCACAGCCATCTGTGACTCCAGTTCTGGGGGGAGCCAACATACTCTTCTGGCCTCTCCAGGTCAGGCATGCATGTGATGCACATACATGCAAAACACTCAAACACAGAAATCCACAAACATACAAATGAGTAAATAAAGAGTGGGCTGGTAAGATGGCTTAGACCAGTTCCTCTCACCTTCCTAATGCTGCAACCCCTTTATACAGATCCTCATGATGGGATGACCCCCAGCCATAAAATCATCTTCGTTGTTAGCCAAGTGGTAATGGTGGAAACGGCGCACACCTTTAATCCCAGCACTTGGGAGGCAGAGGCAGACGGATCTCTGAGTTCCAGGCCAGCCTGGTCTACAGAGCGAGTTCCAGGACAACCTCCAAAGCTACAGAAAAACCAATAATAATAATTCATTAAAGAGCTGGAAATATAGCCTGGTTGATAGGGTGCTTGCCTAGCATGTTTGAAGCTCTAGGTTTTGTTTAGTGTTTTTTTTTTTTCCCCTCAGCACCTCAAAAACAGGCGTTGTACATCCATTTAATTCCAGAGGAGGAGGATCATAAATTCAAGGTCATTATCAGTTATGAATTGTGTTTAAGTCTGCCTGAGCTAAAGACTCTCAAAATAAATATCTTCAGCATGGCAGATACAGTTTTCTCATGGGGGATGTTTCTCTTTTGGTTTTTGTACTTTTTTCTTTTGTGGTTCATTTAGTTTTGCTTTAGGGTTTTTATTTTTGTTTTGTTTTGTTTTTTTGAGACAGGGTTTCTTTGTGTGGCCTTGGCTGTCCTGGAACTTGCTCTGTAGGCTAGGCTAGCCTTGAACTCACAGAGATCCACCTGTGTCCTCCTTCCAAATGCTAGCATTAAAGGTGTCCGCCACCATTGCCCAGCCTGCTTTAGGTTTTATAAGACAGGACCGCTCTGCAGCCAGGACTAGTCTCCCTGTTTCTGTCACAAGGGTGCCCCACACCTGAATTTATTGTTTTTGTTTTAAAGCAGGGTCTTGCTATGTAGCCTAAATTGGCTTAGAAGTTGCCAACCTCCTGTCTCAGCCTATGAGGGTTAGGGTTATAGGTTTGTACAGGCATGCACCACCATGCCTGCCTGCTTCCTCGGTTGTAGGAGGCTCTAGCTACAAGAGGGACTCGGGTGAACACAATTGGATTGTAGCCTCAACCTGACTGTAACTGGGCATCTAGTCACTAGTGGTCAGGCCCAGACCAGAACCTTCCAGCATGTTCTCGGCAGTCCCTGGTGGACTTTTCCCTGCCTGTGGAAGCTCACTTCTTCCAGCTGAGCCTTGGCTGTGCTCCTAGGTGGTGAGTGTAGGAAGCTTGTCCAAGAGGTCTCGGGAGGCACATGTTTTCTCCTTGTAGCTAGCCCCTGTCCTTCCCACTCCCGTCTTCATCGTGGACCCAGGTTTTTTTTTTTTTTTTTTTTTTTTTTTAACCAGAACTGATTGCTCAGCTAAATCAACTTCTGCTAGGGAAAAGTCCAACTGTACAAAACACAAATCATGGGGCCCTTGGTTGCTTAACTGGAGGTGGGGGGGAGGAAAGCTGAATCCACTGGCACAGCTGTTGCACATTCAGGCCCTGTTCCTGGCCTCGCTCTCCCGGGATCCACATTACTCCCATGTTCGCTCTCTGAGAACCTAGGTCTCTCCTCCCCATGTCCCTACTCCCCAGCCTCCGTTCTGTCTCCCCTTCTCCATGGCTGCAGACCACATGGAACT